TTTTTTTTTTTTTTTTTAGAGTCTCATTTCACTAATTGGATCTTGCTTGTCTCCTCTTTGTTTTCGATCGTTTTCTTGCTAGATTCCGGTGTATTGTTCCATTTCTGCTTTCTGTGCTCTTTGATGTCTATTTCATTTTCTTTTGTTGTGGTTTGTAGTTATGTTAGGTTTAATTGATGTTTATGAATTTGCCAGATCTTTTGCTATTCCTTAACCCTCTTTGTTGCTTCCTTGTTTAGCCTATTAATTGTTCCCTTTGCCTAGTGCATGGAGTTGTGTTGATCGATTTAATAGGAGGGCTGGTAGTAGTATTAGGGTTTTTGATTTGGGGGTTTCTGAGCGTAGTAGGTGGGTAGTTAGTTGGAGGCGGTATGGAGAATGATTTAGCGTACAAGCTCCGCAAATTTTCTCTTTCGAAAAAAGAAGAAGAAGGCATTGTTATAACAGAGGAAGGGATAGCTCCGTCGTTCCAAGAATGTGTTCTCAGTCTTATGGGAAAGGTGTATGGGGAGGAAAAAGCTAACTTCCATGGCTTGAAGGCGACTTTGGGAGCGATCTGGGTTACGAAACAACCGTTTTCTTTCAAAAGCTTGGGGGACAACTTGTTCTAGTTCCTATTCCAGTGTGAAGAAGACAAAGATAGAATTCTCAATGGCAAGTCCTGGAGCTTTGATGGTCAATACATTCTTCTCAAACAATGGCATCCAGAAAAGCTATCCTTCACTGCTGATGACGAGGTGATAAAGATCTGGGTTCAAATACATAACATGCCCCTGCATTGGATAAGTGCAGATACAGGCTTAAAGACTTAAAGATGGGGAAAATGCTAGGCAAACCTTTGGATGTCCAAATCCCTGGGCCAAGCTGCTATCATGGCCACATTTTCAAAGTGCATGTGGAACTCAAGCTGAAGGACCCCATTCTAAGAGGCTGCAAAATCAAACTGGGACATGAATCAAAATGGGTGGATTTCAGGTATGAAAGTCTCCAAAGCTTTTGTTTCTATTGTGGTCGATTAGGTCACAATGACAAAAACTGTGATTATAATAAAGAGGATGTCTTAAGAAGTACCCTTACCCTAGTGTAGTTTGGAGAGTGGTTGAGAGTTAGCCCTCTTAATTTGGATTTGTTTAGATCTCACAGTTCCCCTTCTTCTGATAGCAGACCTCCTGATAGAAGCTCTGATAAAAATGTAGCAAGTGGCCCTGAAGATGATGAGATAGGGGAAAGGAGTCTTGAGAATCCTTGGGCCTTAGCTCAAGTTGGAACTCAACAAGTTCCATTGATTAGTAAGGTAGAGAGTTCTATGGTTGAAAGTAGTGAGGGCTCTGCAGAAGCCCAAACTGCTCAACCCAATGGAGCTTTGGATTCTATTCCTGAAGATACCAATCTGGTATCCTCTGATTTAGTGGATATCAATATCCAAACCGGTTCTATAGGAGCTAGAGTTTTGCAGAGGAAAAAGAAATCTTACAAAAAAATAGTCAAAATTCCTAATGAAACTGTGTTGGAAACCATGGCTGTTGATCCTGTTGGGATAATTGATAAGACTGCCCCTGTTATTAATATGAAAGCTAAAAGAAATTTGCAAATCATGGAAGGCATGTCTAACCAGGAGGGACCTAGCAGTGATCAATCTGCTAAAAAACAAAATTTTTCTATGGAAGTTACTAATTCTGTGGTGTAGGCAACCAACCCTAACTGGTCCCATGGTATCCAATGAAGGTATGTGTGTGGAATTGTAGAGGTTTGGGGGGACCCTCTACAATATCCCAGTTCAAAGAATCCTTAAGGGTTCACTCCCCAGATTTTGCTTTTCTACATGAAGTTAAAAAAA